CTGAAAGTAGAACCGTATCTTTTTAGGAAAATGAATTCAAAATTTAGTGGGATATGGAAAAATATTTAGAAAAAAAAAGTTCATTGATTTTGCTTATCATATTTACTCATTCCTCCAACTTTAACTGATTAAATTTTACGAATTATTAGCAACGATTTCTTTCGTTTTAAGCATTGTTAACCTAGTTTTCGATTTTTTTTTTTTTTTTTTTCCAATTTTGATTCTTTCCTTTGCATTGTAGAATGTGAAAAGTAATAAAATGCACAATTTTCTATAGGTTTGGCTTGAGTAAGATTATCTAACGACGTATAAGAAAGAATTATGAAAATAGCAACAGGAAGAATGGTTGTTCGTTTGTTTGTTTTCTTTTTTTTTTGTTTTTGGGAAACTGAGATTGTTTGCATTTTACCTCGAAAGTCCTCCAAAATCAAATGCAAATACAAGTGTGCAGGTATGCATGCCTGTATGTATGCGTAGATATGTGAATAAACATACTTATGTAAATAGAACAGTAGTAGTTGTTAAAATATAGTTTAAAAATTCCAACAATTGCATAGAATAACAGCAGCAACAACAACAACAACAGCAGCAACAGCAACAGCAATAATAATAATAATAACAACAATAACAATAACATAAATAATGTATATATACATACGTTGATATATAAATCTACAGTCATATGTATGTATGTATGTATATATATATGTGTATTTATGTATATACAAGTATTTATATAACTATTGAAAAGACTGATGTGCATATAAAAAAGAATTCATGCAAAACGTTTACGTAGGTCCGTCTGTCTGTCTGTCTGTTTGTCTGTCTCTCTGTCTTTTTATTTCTTTCTTTCTTTCTTTCGTTCTTCATCTCTTGATTTCTTCTTTTTTTCTATCTTTCTTTCTCTTTATCTATCTATCTGTCTGTCTGTCTGTCTGTCTATCTATCTATCTATCTATCTATATGTCTGTCTGTATGCCTGTTTATCAGGTTGTTTATTGTTTTCTTTTTTTTGTTTTTGCGGTGCATATATATATATACATATATATATATATTTTTCTTCTTTTTTTTTTGTATATGTTTGTATACATTTATTTGCACATGTGTAATTGCAAGTGTTTGTGTGCCGTATGCACGTTTACAATTTTTATAAACAACACAAGCTTTCTGTTACATTTAGTAAAGAAATCGACATTTGTGCTTTTGTTAGAGGCTTTGTGGCAACGGTAATATTTAGTAATAGAAGACTTTGAACCTCTTATACATACGCACACACAAATATGTATATATATATACATATATATGTACATAAATAAGTATATTTTTATATGTCTCACTGTGTAAGCGTGCAGCTTTATGTTTGTTTTTGTTTTATTTTTGTGTTTTTCTTTGTATTTTTTTTTTTTTTTTTTTACAGTCGCCTTTTTTTCTAATAGCTTTAGCTTTTTTTCTGTTTTTTGTTTTGTAGGTTGGCATTTTTTTTATATCAAGCATTTGTTTTGTTCGTTCATTCATTCAGTCACTGATTCATTCACTCATTCTTCATAATTCATATTCATTGTTTTTGATTCAGATTTGTTGTAACAAGTTATTTTATGTATTTGTTGTGTATGCATTGTTTTTGGTGTCTTTTCGTAAGCTGCTATTTTATACAATGCAATATGCAATGACAAATAGACAGAAAAGTAGACAGATAGACTAAAGAACAGACGGTTAGATAGTCGGAAAAATTTTACTCATATAGTTTTTCCTTTTTTTTTTTTCTTTTGCTTTCTTTTTTTGCGTTTTTCTTTTTTACTTCAGCTCAGCTTACAAAACAATAGCAGCAAATCGCTTATTTTAATAATGCTGTGATGCCAATGATAATAACAGCTCATCTATCTATCTATCTATCTATCTATCTATCTATCTATGTTTGACATAGTTAATGTTACATTGCATTGCTCCGCTTATAACTTACTGTCTGCCTTTGATTATAAGAAAAGAAGACAATCCAACAATTCAATCAGCAAATACATGCAAATTCGTATATGGTGGAGAAAAAAACAGAGCGGAATCGAACTGGTTGGTTAAGAAGTTGCCAATTATAAAGGAAAATTAAAAAAAAAAAAAAAAGGAAAATTAAAAAATATCGAGAGTCTTTGTACCGACCGCTAAGGAAAGATTATAAATTATATGAATTCGGAAAGTGACACAGATCCACTCCAAAGAACATCAGTCGTTATAAATAAAATAAGGAAATAATATTTGGCCGGGACCGAATCTTTTATACCCATCACCGTTATCCTATCTCTTCAAGTCTCTTTTACTTAATACCCAAACCGACGGGATTGTGGAGCAAAAATTATTCTACCATGTCTTGACGTCCGCGTCCGTTACTTAATTTAGAATTAAAACACTTCACTGATCGCATTCTAATTTCCAAGTCCTTCTATTTGATATCCATATCGACGGGATTGTTAAAAAAGAAAAAAATTAGCCCACTATGCCTAGTCTACGCTTTACTGTACGCATATGTCTTGAGCAATTTGTCCCATTTTCAATATCAAGGTGCGTGCAAGAGCTTCCAATATGTTTGACAAATCTGAAGCTGATAATTTCGTTTCTGGGACCATAGACAGAATGTTTACCGTAGAGAGACGGACGCACATGCTTAACTCGATTTAGATTTTAATGCTAATTACGAGAGATTTTATGGGGTCTCTCAAGTTTCCTTCTGGCTGTTGTAAACATTTTGAGAAAATAAATATACCACTCATCCTTCGACGATGGGTATAGAAATCATTTATATATTAAAGATAAAATATATGTATTGCGCATAACTTGAAATATAATAACTTTAACTGCACTTTCTTAAAGGCGATTATTTAATTGAAAACGATGTGTGTGTAACATAAGTTATAATAGAATCGGCCAAATTTTGTGAATCGCTAGTCATAATTTTTGTGTTGCTTGCCATGAAAAATCTTTTATCACTTCTAGTGTAAAGCAAACGTTCTTCGCCCCAAGTCGCAAATAAAAGAAATTATTCCAATAATGTCCGCCAAAATTTTCCGTTAAAGAATTTTTACGATCAATTCGTAGTTCATCTAATTTCCATATTATTGATTCACTTCCGACATTTTTAAATGCTTGGAAACTCTGCTGTTGTTCGTTAAATTCTCAAAATTTCAGTTGCTTATCAAGTATGGTATGAATTTTCATTTACAAGCCTTGCTCGTCTTTTTAAATTGTTAAAAGCACCTTCGATATATTAGAGTAAATGCACATTGCGCCCCGCAAACTTCCTTTAGTGTACGAGATATTTCCATAGTAGCTTGATGTAATCAAGCAACACTTCACTCTTTCATATCTTAATGAATACAAATTAGGCATTTTCCAAGTTTAAAGAATATATGTTGACGCTGCCTCCATGAACTGAATATAGGCGTAATAGCGAAGCCGTACTAACTTTGCCATGACATAACTGAGAAACAAACACGTCAAACGTACCTAATATATATATATATATATATATATATATACATCTATACGAAAATTGACATATTCATGTGATCGAAGTATAAAGCGAATTTGTATATAAAATGGAAAACATTTAGTTATTCTTTCTCTCAATTTCATCGCCTTCATAAAGCTGAAATAATATTCGTTGTTAACAGTTTGATCTGGTGGAAGACTCACCGTTTACTATATCGTTCGATTCATAATTATTTTCTAAATCGATGCAAATTCGTTTGTTCCGTTGCCCGTCGGCCCGGTGTTGAAAATTCATCGACTCGTATCAGTTCTAGGATCATTTCTCTTATTTGGAAAATATTTCGATGTGTAAAGAATTTTAACATTTTTTGGCAAAAGTTACTAATCGATAGTATTTCAGCATGCTAAATGAATGCAAAAAATTTGGATCGAATAGGCGAGTCTATTGAAAATCCGCCTATACGAAAAGTAAGCATTTGTATCAAGCTTCAAGACTCACTTTTTGATATCTTATAATGAAAATTGGTCCATAGTATTAATCTGTGAAAAAAAATGAACTGTAGCTAAATTAGGCATAATAGATTCATCTGTTGGATCCCACCAGGTTTACGAGTGCTCATTAAAAGTAAGCCATTATATGATAATACGATGTAATTTTTAGCAAAATATGAGAAAAATAGTTAAACGATAATCAAATCTTTGACTACAACATTATGTTTGCTAATTTCGGTCCGTGGCAGTTCAAGTTTCGGGCATCCGTCAATATGGGGTCTCCCATTGAATATATCCCTTTACATGCAGGCAGGGAATAGTTTTTGAGATTTTATAGGAAAAATAAATGAAAACCATGTAAGAACATTATAGCCGATCAAGGCCGGCTATTAATGCCCTACATCACTCCACATATATTCATTAAATTCTATTCAATTCATTTGTAGGAATACCAAATTTCATGAATATATCCAAAAATCTACGACTTGTAAGATGAACACGAGAATATATGCACAAACTTTAGACCTACAGTTGGATAGACAAGATTAGATCGACTCAGGTAATGATTCTAAATCGAATAAAAGATAGATGTTAAATACATTCGCAGACAACTAACAAATATAAGCAAACATAAACGAAGCTAAACCCGCACTGCAAATACTGTACGGTACTATTATATTAAGCAAAGTAAGTCAGGATATATGATGTGCGTCCGCCAATCTATAGAATTTTTTTTTTTGAAATTATTCTAAACCTTATTAAGTTTTCAAAAGGATAAGTGCATAGTGTGAATCACATAAAATCCTGATATGCTTTTGCTTTCGAAATTCGAATCCATTTGTAAACGGAATAAATTATTTATTGCATCACTTCAAAGCAATCTTTGTGCCCTCGGACCACTTTGCATTTCGGACCATTATTGAGATTGAGATTTTAAGATAATCTATAGAAAATAAGCATTAATTTTCAGCTTCTGCATCTCTATCATTAGCTGGCAGATGTTAATTTGTTTTTCGTTTTTTCTTTTTTAGGAAAATGTTTATTGGGGGCCTTAGTTGGCAAACAAGTCCAGGTGAGTTATTGTTATTTAGCACATCCTACGTAAATAAGTAAATAAATATTTACATATTTATATAACATTTATACATACATATATATATATATATATATAAATTTATATATATATATATAAAATTGTGAATTGAAAATCTTCAATATAATTTCTTTTAGCTCAATACATTTAACGATTCAAGTGCTAATTGTCTTATCGTTATATAGAACAAATAATACGTTACTACGTTTTTATATCATGCATTAACATTTTCAACTTAATATATACGATTTTTATCGTGGTCTGCCAAAAAAAAAAAAAAAAAAAAAAAAAAAAAAAAAAAAAGAGATCGCATACGATAACGAAGGTACATATTTCACTCTTGATTGATTTTGTTGCCCTGTCTGCAAATTAAATTTTAACGAATTTGCCACATTTGTATACGTCATCTCTGTTTATGCTTCTGTTTTCGGATGGATGAAAGATTTCACTGGTGCCTTTTCTGTGCATATTTTGTGTTTTATTTACGAATTTATTTATGTATTTATTATACGCTATATTATGCCATTGTTCGCCATTGTATGTCATTTACCTATTTGTTATGTCGCTCCGTACCGATGCATATATGTTGATATATGTGCAGTTAGTTTATGCGGTATGCATGATTTATTCCGTAATGAATAGTTTTGTGCAGGCACTGTTTTTTTTTTTTTTTTTCTTTTTTCTCAATTTTATTTAACAATTAAAACAACAACAATACTACCCAGGGAATTGATCAACGAGCACAAATGAAAGCAAAAGCAATTAAAAGAAAGAAAGAAAGAAATCAAACGAACGCTATAGAAATAATTTTTTACCCACTGTCATCCATTTGGTTCATCATTTGTTTTCTTTAGTTGATTTAATTTAATGTTCCTTTTTTTTAACGAATCGAAATCATAAAATCTACAAGTTGTCAAATAGTTTCTGTCGGTGCTATTGCTAAACTAACTAAACGAAGTGCGAAGTGTGCTTTCCATCAACATGGCATAAAACAAATTCGAAAAATGATTATACAAGCCTTGATTTAAATTTTGGATGTCACCTATTAATTGATTGATTGTGCATTTCATGCCAACGCTCTGACCTCTCCTAAGCATGCTCGGACAGAATTTGCGATTATCAACTCTTTTCGTTGCTTCTGTAATCAATTTTATTCTAATGGGTTCGACTATCTGTACAGGCATTATTTTTTCTAAACTCTTTGCTCATTGTACTCAACTCAAAAACGTTTCGTCAATCAACAGGGCAGTTTCAGAGGCTTCATAACGTTTACATATTCTTGATCAGCATTAAATTCTCCATTTATTTAAGCATATTGGTCTGCTCGTCTGTGTAACGTGTGTGAAGAGTATCCTCTTGATGGTAAACATGAAAATATCAGCTTCAAATTCGGTAGGAACATGCAATGTTATTGCACACAGGTTAGTATTGACAATCGCAATCGGGCGCAATCGGAACAAAGGGCACGGCTGCTCTACAACATATGGCAACTGAGAACACCTTTCGTTAAGGATGAAATTTATAAAACAAAGACAAAGTTTGCTCATAACTCATAAATGTAAGAAATTATTTTATTCACCAAAGTATGCGGCCACATTGTCTACACACTTTTGCCATTTGAGCGGCCGGTGGTTCAGTTCGATGGTATAAAAGTCTGGTGGACGAGAGTCTATAAATTCCTGGAAGGTCGGTTTTACTATAATATCGGGATTGAAAATCCTTCCTTTCCAAGAAGTTGTTCAAATTGCGAAAGAAGTAGTAGCCAGTAGGAGTACGGAGTACGGTGGTGAGTACGGAGGACGATGAACAAATACCAGCTCCAATTGCACGGTCACTTGCGCAGTGTGTCGTCTGGCGTTATCTTCCAATAAGATAGGAATCGATCTGTTGACTAAACTGGCTGTTTTTTTGTTTTGTTTGTTGTGTGTCTAGTTGGTTACAGTATATTTCTGCTATAATCGATAAGCCTGGTTTAATGAGATCGCAATGAACCATTTCTTGCGCTAGACCACCAAACACTCACCATTCGTTTGTTCTGATGCATACTACAGTTTGGAGAAGGTGCGTTTGATTAATTCATTGAATCCATTTCTCATCACAAGTGATGATTCGACGAGAAAACGACATCAAATAAGCTCTCAAACGCTTTTGTCTCTGTTTTTCGTTCAGTTCTTGGGTAACCCACTTATCTAGTTTTGTCACTTTTCCGATTTGAGCTAAATGAGTTAATATTGTTTGTTTGCTAACACCAAGCCTTGATGCTAGGTCACGCTAAACGGTGACCCTTAGTACGTCATTACAGGCCTTTGATTCAGGGCGACCGCGTGGATCGTTTGCAAGATCAAAATTACCGATGCGAAATTAGACAAAACCAATTTGATATTGTTTCGAACGATAAAAATTTTTATGTATACCTGTACCTGTATAAGAGTAGAAAAAATCTCTAGTGCCCATCCAGGATTATGGAGTATCAAAATTAAATTGTATTCGCTTTTTCCGAGATTTTTTTCAAGATAAAGATGACGGGTACAACATATCGGCCATTGCCCAATGCAATCTTTTTACTCTCTCATGTTGTTCTTTCGGTCATTTGCTTACGGTGTGAACGAATCTATTGGTGGATTGCGGTTAGATGATAATATTTTCTGGTAAAAGGTTTAGGAGACTTTCTTTTTTATAATAGCTGTACGGTAGTAGTAACTGAACAATCAGCAGATAGGTATAATAAAATATATGTACTATCGCACTCTCTTGCGACGTATGTTCAGTACGGAATAATGAGATGATTATATCTAGAAAATCCGATCGTGGAAATAATAATATAGTATGTGTATGTATGCAGGGCTTAGAACGATAGGCAAAAGAGATATGAGCATGATTCGATTGAATAAATGAATATCAAGCAAGAGAGAGCAACAGATTAAGTTTAGAAAGACAATTTGTTCAGTTTATTTTAATTTTTTTCTTTTTAAGTGTAATTCAAATGTTCCGTTACTTTAAAATTACAATGTAAGTATAAAATGTAAACGCACGTCTATCATAAGAGATCTCATATTGTAGCGAGTTTGGAAAATTCCCATATCCGATACAAATTTTTCACTTCAATTTCGAAGGGCGAAATACTCAGCCGTTTCTGTTGAGAAAGTTTGATAAAGTGTTATAAGCGAAGTGCTCGAAAAAGTGATCCGATCTGATCCGATCCGATCCGATTTATTTACAACAGCGTTGGATCCATGGTCCACAAAATGTTGATGCACCAAAATATTTCAAGTATTGCGATCTGTACATTGAGACGATCAGATGGACAGATGTGGTTAGATAAAAGATGGATCTGTCTCAAGACCACGGCATAAATGTTAAATGTTTTTTTTTTTTTCATTTTCAAATATTAAATGCGTCGAATGTTTGAATTATTTTTTTATTGAGATCACTTTTTATGTATTTTAAGCAAATTACTTACGGAGTTAGTCGTAGATAAGAAGAGATAAAAGCAAATTAGGTGTGTAAAGGCTTAGCTACATATTGTGAAATCTAAATCTTTCAGCTCTTAGAACACCTACGTGACACATCTTTGATAATATATATTCATTTGATTTTACATCTAACGATTTCTCTTTGCTTTATTGCATCAACAAAAAAAACATAGCATTGGAAGCGATTTACATCGAATTGCCGAGAGAAAGCAGTTGTTTAGCTTCAAAACTCATATTAGGAAATCATTTAATTTGTCGTAGTTTTGCAAAAATGCATCAGTCCGTAGGGACGATACTTGGAAAAAGAATTAAAAATCTGGCAACACTTAGGCGTCGACTTTGCTAGTTTATTGCAAGATATAAAGCGAACAAATTTTACATTCGCTAATAGCGTTAGTTTAGGAAAGATTTGCAGATGCTTGTCCGAATTATTTGCACGTTAAATATGTGTAGATCGATTTTCAAATCTAGTTAATCAAAATAATTTAAAGGCTTCGATTCATCGTGACCGTGTTTTAATTTTTTGACTTTCGCGAAAGGTTTTAATGGGAGATGACGTTGCCGTTCACGTTTAGTTCGTCAAAAGACAAGAAAATTATATTTGCCTGCGATCGAATCTTTTATGCACACCGCCTCAATCGACATTTCCATACTTCATCGTTGTATTGAATATAAGTAGAGATTTTTATCGTGGTTCTGTTGTAGGTTAAGCGCAATAGGCAAAAGCGATTATCTTTTCGAATTTATAGTGTATTGCAGGCGCGTCATTTTGTCGAATTGGCCCAGTTTCAGTATCGATCTGCATGTAACGATATCCAACGTTTTTGTTAAACTGAAAACGTTTTTGCGATCAAGAATTTAGATATTTAGCACAACAATCAACAGATAGATGGACAAACGGACTGACAAACATGACCAGAAAGATTCAGAATTTGATACTGATCAATAATATATATGCATGTGTATATGAGATCTATGAACCTTCCTACTGACTATATAGCAAATTTTTGGATCTATTCTTTTGCAAAAAGTTCAGTCCCTCTACGATAATTACGACTAGCAAACAGTGATCACAGCGATCGTAAATGCTCTATTAGTACAGGCGTAACAGCTATCCCGCGCCCATACATCTGTCGCACTACGGCCACATCCTATCCCTCTTGGTCACCGTCATCCCAAGTTATGACCAGGTTCACACAAGTGTAAACATCATCCCTTAATTTACTTGTCATGCAAATAAAAAAATTTAATTTCAAGCAACATTTTGATTGTGTCTATAGGTTTTCGGCTGTTCATCGATTAGCATGATTAGTTCCTGATAACAAGGTACTGGCTGTTAAGTACTTCTCCTATGAATTTGTTTCTCATTCCGATTGTTTTGGGGACTTTCTTGAAGTCGCATGTTGAGGAGAAGTAATATTTGAAATTTATTTTAACATTACACTGTCAAATAGTCGCAAAGATGTTCAATTCGTTGAAAATAGTATTCAATCCCCTTGCAGATTGTGTCCATACTTTCTCTATATCAAATTGGGACGCAAAGACGGTTAAATAAATTTGTTACTGCAAATTATGTCAGGACAAGAAAAAAAAAAAAAAAAATATATATAAGGCGAAGGTAACAAATTAAAATATATGTTTCATTTTATCGTTTTATCTATCGTCTGGCGTACTTGTCATGATTTATCTTAAAATTTTTAAAGAGAGCTCCGTTTATTAATTGACGGTTCAGTTATAAGTGGATGCGACAGGTATCGATAAGACAGATATGGCTAACAAATACCTAAATGTCATGTTAATTTCTTATCGAATACATAAAATGCTTGAAATTTATTTGATTCGATTTTTTGGTTTGTTTCTTTTTGAATATTTTCTTAAATTTAGCTTAGAGGATTTTCGTAAATCTAAAAAAAGCAAAACGAGCATAACTCGATTCTATTAATGAATTTTTGTGTTGAAAAAAAGAAAAACATTTATCTCCCAAAAATAAAATAAAGTGAAATGAAATAAAAAAATATCCGGTGCTACACTTGAAAAACAAAACATTTGCGTCCATTAGAATTGAACGTATAGAACCCTTACAATTACACATGTACACAGTTACGCACACTTGCACTTACACTTAAATACGCTTTCGCATATATATCGCAACACAGATACGCACACATAAGCGCGCGCGCACTTACACATACATTTATGAACGCATTCACAGGCGCTCACTAAGTAGCACCGGGAAGTGTATAGAAAAGCGTCAACACAAAACTGAAAAGCATAACACAACACAACGTACAACATAACAAAGATGGCATTTTTGGCACAGGTACAAAACAATTACAACGACCACTGCAAACAAAACTAATAGCAGCCCAAAACCGCAAATGTACAATAACCCAACAATAACATAATAATAATAATAATAATAATAATAACAACAACAACAACAACAATAATGCTAACAAAAAAAAAGAAAAAAAAAAGAAAAAAAAACAGAAGAAAAAAAAAACAATGACAACAACAAAACCAACAATAATAATAATAGTAGCAATAGCAAAAGACAACAAAATGTATTTTAATAGTACTCAATAGATTTGCCGACGGTTATTTGCTTAGTATGGGTATATATTTGTATATATATATATATGAATGCAGTCTATGTATGCAGTCTATATATGCATGTACGTATGATATGTATATGTGAATGTGTATACTCATGCATGCATTATAATAAATATAATGGGGCGGAGCCAAATTAGATGAGCAGGAATATACAGAGGCAAAAACAAACAAACAAACAAACAGACAAACAAACAAACATACAAAAAAGCAATGAAAAGTACAACAACAAGATTGAAAAAAACAAAAATTTATAGAAAGGAAAAGAAAAAAAATCTAAACAAGAACTAGCAGCAAATTTTTACAAAGCAATGGCTAGCATAACGGAATATTTTCTATACATATTGACATACACACACACACACACACACACACACACACACACACACATAGGGAGGCAGGCATGCACAAAACATTTGTGAAAATGTTCAAAGCAAACATACGCACGCATATATAAACACTTACGTATAAAACTAATATTATTTGCCATATGAAAGAGTTTTGTATACTCGTGCGGAAATAGGCTCGGAAATGACTGTTTTTCTCGTTTTGTTTTTCGTTTCTTGTAACGTTTTTTTTTTTTTTTTTCTCCCTTTTCTTTTATTTTTTTTTGTTTTTACCCCAAAAACTAAAAGAATCAACTAATAGACGAATAATAAACCCATTTTGATTAGCCGACAATGTTTAGATATATGTAAGTTGTTTCTGTGTCCGTAAGCTTGTCTGTGTTTGTCCATTTGTAGGTTTAAAGGCAAAAAAAACTTCTTTTATTCATGCATGATGTAAACGTATGCCAAACGTTTACATAGCTGGAATATTACTGCAGTGGGTGTACAAATTATGTGTTATTTCGAATATGTTCGCTTGTGTGTACGTGTGCTTTATCTGTCCAATTTTCTTTTTGCTTTCTTCCTTTTTTTTTTTTTTTTTTTTTTTTTTTTTTTGAAACCCCTTTTTTGCTGTTGTACAGTGCACTTCTTCTTTTACTCTATCTGGCTGAGTTTTTGCTTTTTGTTTTCTTTTTGAATACTTTCGATCATTGCATAATTGCGTTTGGCTCAAGAATGTATGGAAGTTTTCGGTTTTGTTTTTTTCTTAATTTTAATTTTTTGGCCATCAGTCAATATTGGTTATGGTGAACTGGAGGTATTAATAAAATAAATTAGATTTTTGCCGCAGAGTTCATATAACATTTACCTATACCCTGGCAAACGCACGCACTCATCCTCCATCCATACAACGCTCTACCTCTCGAGTATAATTTACTTAAAATGCTTTCATTTGATGATTAGTGTAATAAAAGAAGCAGCACCGATAACAAGTGCCGTTGATGTTAAGCTAAGTCAGTAAGAGGCAGCTAAACTCTCTTCAGAGTAAGTTCTGCTTGTTTATGCGATTAGCTTATTAAGGTTTGCTCTTGAGTTAAGTTGACTATAGTGCTTAATTTAAAAAAAAATTAATTCATATTAGAAAAGTTTTTCTATTGAATCGAGTGAATACAATTGAATATTATGAATACACTTCCGCAAATTCAGTTTGAAGCTGTGTTCGATCCACTTACAATATAGGTTCAAAATTGACGCAACTTTAGAAACATAATTTTGTGGCAAACGAAAACTGGAATTTTTTAAAAAAATGAACTTTAATTAATGGGAACTCATTACCTTGTTCGCATGCGAACTAACATTTTTGCACTTGTTAACTATTTCTGATCAATAATATTCTCAATAGCTTGTAGATTGCACTGTCAGACGTTTTGTTTCATTTTTTCTTTTTCTTTTTTTTGAAAGTTGCTTCAGTTGTTTTATTGCTTGCGGGATTAATATGTTTCTTGTTGGTCTTATAAACTGTACTAGAAGCATGCAACATCTCACGTAACAACTTTCACTTTGTTATCTAAACTTCAGTAATTTTAACGCTTTTAAGAAATGGTATTCTTAGCAATCAGACAAACTGATATAAAGCTTGGAAATCATTTTCTTAAACCACACCTAACCCGCACTTAGCCAGCACGGTGATGCGTTTGCGTCTCAGCGCATTTCTTAATAATGTGTTCACATTTTCAATCGAGAAATCAAGCTTGACATTCCGAGCCAGAAAGTCGGATTATCAAGTATTCAATATGAAGCTATTGGGTTATATTGATCTCCAAAATTTGATGCCTTGCTTTTCATTTCTTTAGATCGCCAAATTGTGACAGGTTTACGCGAAAGCATGAATAATTGATAATGGAAACCAGAGAAGGTATTTATTGTTAAAAAGTTTTTCTAAATTCCACTACATAATCTGCCTGAACGGACTGACAAGAACAGATTCTTTAGTGATTATTCATTGCATTCATCTCACGATGTTCTGCAAATTTTCCAATGCACTTGTTTGCTTACGGATAATAAATAACCTTTGCCACGTTCAAGTTGTCTAAAATTTTCAAAGAAGACGTAACTTGAGAGAAGCGTGAAATGTGATGAAAAAGTTGGACGCTCCAATAATTTGTAGTACAAAGCCTTCAATTTCTTCACCGTTTAGTTGCATTCAAAAAACAATTGACTCTTTCCTCATTAAGGCTAAGAGTTTTTTCTAAACGGTTTAAATATTTCGATTAATACTCGTCCATTGTTGTTGTGACTATTTTACATGTCTCGTTCTATGAACTTTTTAATTAGTTTAGGAATTGACGGATTTTTCGCAATTTTAATTGTATTCTGAAAAAGGCTACAGTTCTCGTTGAAAATATCTCCACAAATTATTTAATATCGTCAACTATCGATTATTTCGTCATCGTCTCTATCTACCATGTTTTTTAAATATATTTGAATTAAATTGTTTAGGCGTTCCCTTCATATGACGGGCAATTCGTATTTAACGCTCGAGTGAGAAAATTTGTAAATACCATCTGTTTACGGTATATAAAATTTTCACATATGCCATGAATGTTTTTTAAAACTCAAAACTCGAAATGCTTTATCTACTATCTGCAGACTTTTTGCATTAATTTGTGAAATTTAAAAGTACACCGATGTATGCACATTTTTTGTCAGCATTCATTCTGTTTCCAATATTGGACGTCAAACTTGAGATTATAGACTGTAAAGCGGTCTACGTTTTCAGCTAAACTTTCCGTGAAAACTTGTAAAAGAAAATGAAAATGATTAAGTCGCAGGAGACTTATCTTATTATTATTGCAGTGAAGCGAATAGTCGTTGCGCTACTCTGATTTTAAATGGTTCGTATTTTCTGTGTACCGTGAAAATGTTGTATAAACCTTTTTGATACACATTTATTTGGTTTGGTGTTAACACTCCGTCTATAGCGGACGTTAAAGTGCTGGACCATATTGAAACTGTTGAACGTAATAATACATAGCACTTAGGTGAGTTTCAATTAATGATAACATTAGACTAATGCACAGCTAGATCATTAGCCGAATAAATCGATAAATGCATGAATGGAATATATGTGATGTGCGATGTGAGTATCTTTACCTTCGAGGTGTGTATCTTCTATCTTCCCCGTTTTTCGCCTGAGTTTGGCGGTTGGGATGCCGCCCTCGTGTTCAAGCCTTTCGAAAAAACACCGGCTCATTTCCTTCGTCTCTCTATCTTTATCTTTATCTCTATATATCTATGATTCTATCTTTAGTTAATAGTATATCCTTCCAAAATTTTTGATGTTAGGTAGAAAAAATGTTGTAAATTTTTTGGCACTGAAGAGTTCTTAGAGTTCGTTGCAAATTGCTTCAATTGCTTCTACTTGTTCGGTGAAATTGCCTATCTATTTACATATATATGGATGCATATATATATAAGTACATATGAATACGTGTATCTTTAGATGACGATATATACATATTTATTATGATGTTATTTCTTCTTTGCCACGGTTAAATGCCAACGAAAATGTGAAGAGATATTTACTTTAATTTTTGATTCACTTTCATCTTCTGTTTTATGCTTATTCGTCTCCTCCTTCTCCTTCTCCTTATCCTTCTTCTTTTTTCTTTTCTTCTTTTCTGCTCTTTTTTCTGTTTCTGTATGCAATTGCCTCTGCTTGGGTTGCTGTTATTTTGCCGCTACAATTTCTTTATCAATTACAATTCAATTAAATTCGTTTCGCCTCGACTAGAATCGTTTCAGTTGATTTGAAATTAAAATCGAACAGACACTGAAATTGAAAATTTTTAAATGACAATATAAAGTGCATGCAAACAGCCACATATTATACTTATATACGCGCGCTCCTCTACACATATGTTTCTCTACTATATATATATATATATATATATATATAGCATTAATACAATGTGTCTTTGTTGCTTGTTATTAGTTTTCTTTTATTTATTTGTACTTTTCTGTTTTCTACGTCGCTATACATGTATATATATATACATATATATAGATAAATGCGCGACCAAACAAACCCTAAATAAATTCAATACATATTGAAGGCTATTGGCTCTTTTATTTCAAATATGCGGCATTTATGTCTGGCATTTATTTATATCATGCACGCATACATTGCAAACAGTCTGCCGTGTTAGTGTCTTTAGTTTGTTTTTGCTTTTCTTTGCCTTTCTTTCGTTGCAAATTTTATTTGTGGAAATTTTGCCGTTCATTACTAATGATAAGTGATCAAGTTAATTGCTGTATATTCGAAATAAATGCATATGTATATATGTATATAGTACATCGGCATATGAAAATTCATTCAAAGAATTTTTGTGTAAGCCAAAGTTCATATTGAGATAAAAAAAGTTATGCACTTTTATAAAGTAGAACTTCTCTACCGCTTTATGCGGTTGAGGTTAATCACACATTTTCATTCAATTCGCTGAACCCATTTTATTTTATGCGTATTATCGCCTCTTATCCTTCTAAACATTTCTGCAAATGTAAGGTATATTGACATTACCGTTCCATTTGAAACATTCAAAAATTAGTATTAGAGAACTGAAGTTTTACACTATGCGTCTTCACGATTAGGTTGACTTTGTTCATTGATCCGTCTATTTATTTGTCTTTTATTACTTGTATGCATACACTTTTAAAGCTAAACAAATTAAGTGAGAAAATTGAATCAACGTCATAACATAAATACGAATATGTTCGTCATGTGACCGGATACGTGAAATTCACTGAATGTAATTGTTTTCTTATTACAAACCGATTTCAGTTAGTCTGAAATTTTTATGTTCATCACCAGAGGATGAGATGTGTATTCATTTTGTCAAAATGTTTTTGACGATCAGAAAAAAATTTCAGAGACCCTGCCGAGTATATATATATATATATATTCTTGATTAGCATAAAATTCCGAAATCGATTTAAGCATGTACGTTTGTCCATCTCTCCGTCTGCGTATTATCCATTGTAAATATTCCTCTGCTCGTTATCGCCTTCAAGCTTGGCAGGAACATTGAAAATAGTCGCACACACGTTGGTATTGAAAATGGGCCAAATCGGTCGGAGAGCACACCTAGAAGCCCTCTGTTTTTTCAAAAGAAATAAAATGTCTTTTGGTTCATTACTTATAATCTAAAAAAAGATGACACTAGAAAAATTTGAACACACATTGTATGAGCAATGTTGTAATACCTGTATAAAAATATCATAGTGGATGACAATTTAATTTTCTTCCATTGCCTTTATAGTCCGTAGAAGCACGCTTCTAAAACCCTATAAAGTGTATAAATTCTTGACCAGTGTTCGGAATGCACCTAAACATGCCTGACTGCCCAACTGTATAGTGTCATCTTTAAATTTCCAAACGAATTTGAAAATGTGCCAAATCGACTAGAGGACACGCCTACACAATAAAAACTGTGAATACCTCTGCTTTCCGGGATTTTTGCTTCTTACTAACAAAACGCATTCCATATAAAAATTTGCATTTTTATTCTGAAAATAGAAAAAATCAGTCGCGGCCACCCAACTTTTTAGAGTACAAAAATGTAGTTCTTTTTCTTTCTTGAACTCTTTTTTTTTGATGATGATGGGAGTAAAAGATTCGGTCACAACCCAATATAATTTTCTTATTTGTTTGAGTTCACTTTAAACTAAGAGTTCTTGCATTAGTATAGATGAGTAGAGTATGAGTAGACTGCTGGCTGCAAAAGTAAAATTTTTATATTGGATATTTCGAAATTTTTTTGAAAATTTTCTTTCAAATTATTAAATAGCTAGCCTAAGGATCAGTTCGTTCATAATTTGTATCAAAATGCTTTTGATTTGTTTTTACTTATCTCTGGTTAGCGCTTAATGTAAATTTGTATAAGAAATTGTGAGAAAGTCTTTCCTAACTTATGGTTTATCTTCAAATAAACGAAAGAAATCAATTTGTCTTCAAGATGGTTCTTTTCGAATATTCTTATAGTTTATGACCCTCACATTGTCTATTCTATAAATATGTATATATATATATATATATATGTTTTTGGGAATTTTTGTAAAAATTAAAAATAAAATTTCGAAAATTGCAAAAGCCGTAGATAAAATATATACAGGCGCACAGACATCAATACTGATTGAATATTATTTTTAAAAAATTTTCACATTTTTTCGTTGTTGGTGAGAGCAACAAATGCCCGAAAAAATTGACAACGTAACGCAGTATATGTACTCGTTGCCCTGAACACACATCACAGGCAGGGCGAAAAAAAGCAAGTTGGAAAATTAAACAAAATATATAACTCTGTGAATAATAGAACATTCATGCACATGTACATGTAGATGGGTGGGTGATAATAAAAACTGCTTAAGTCATTTATGTGGGAAATATTTAAAAAGTTTTCAGTTAACAAACATAAGGCTATGAATTGTAATAATTATTGCATAAACTGAATTCACAACAATTTCCAAGTCATTCGCATAAATATCTATGAATAACGGAATACTAGACGGAAGATTGCAAAGTGAAATAAATGAAAAACGATTTTTTTTTTGTAATTCTTGACTTAATTCAGTTTTACATCGTAACCGGCATATATATTGTAAATATATGCATCGCAAATATCAATAGAAACTCAAGCTTATTTATAAGGGCATGTATGTATATATATATCACATAGTTTGCTCATCTATCAGTGCAGTCATCGCAAAGAATATGTTTAACTTTCCTATGTTTCGGAAAATCTTTTTTTTTTCGGGCTTTATTTTCAAGTATCTTCACGCGACACATGTACTGTAAGTGACGTAGGCAGACAGAGGTTGCTATTCTGCTGCTAACCTATTGAAGTATTTGCGGGCAATTGTTGAAATGATTATGACGTCAGAGACTTGTTGCTTTTCATTGAAATCTTAGATAATATTACATAGACGTGTTTTAACCTTTGCTTTAATAGTAGCTCAGGATAAACGATCGGTTTTAAGTAAATTTAAAGTTTAGTAATAGCATTATTTATAAGCTCATTTGACGGGGAAAATATCCTGCAATATACCACGTGAACCATGAAAATCAATTACTTGTAAAAGTTAAGAATTCGTTGGCTCAGGATGCATCTTAACGAAGCAACCTTTTTATTTACCGCATGCATCATGCATGCAAAAGTCATAAAAGTTTGAATTATGACCGCAATAGTTCATTTACTAAATATATTACATCACGTATAATTCCAATATTGTTATCATTGTCCTATATAGCAAAATTGACATTAAATAGGAATTTAAAATTTTCTAAAAAACAAAAAAAAAGAAATCTATTATATAAGTTGAGAAAACAAAAAACTTAATAATAAAACTTGTTTACGTTTGAAATAACGCCTGCATTGGTGCATGTAGGCAAAGATGGCAAAGACATTCGCAAATCCTTGCAGTCGTTGATGGGAACAATTTCAAATCTCTGTTAAGCAGTTGTGGAGGGGGGGGGGGGGGGGGGGGGAACTACGTCATTACACATTCTGTCATTA